CAGTCGAGTGATTTGGTCAGGGCGAGGCCGGAGTGAGTAGTATGGCTGAGGCGAGGACTCGCCACTTTTGAGTTAAACTGTGTACCGACCGTTGCCTTATGTGTACTTGCGTGCGTCCACCTCCACCCGATTCCGATGTGCCACAGCCCCCTCCAGTTCGGGCATTCTGCAACAAGGAGGAAGCCGGTTGAACTCAGGTGACATTGATGGATTTTGATAGGGAAGCGAATGCAGTAGCTGAGGCAATGAAAGGGCTGTTTGGTATGGTGAGATGTGAGCTGGCATCAGCAAAGGCGGAGCTTGCAGTATTGAAAGGAGAGCTAGCGGCAGTTAGGGAGGATTTGACCCGACAAAAGGAGCGTGTGTTGATGCTGGAGACGGGGAAGGCTGTTGTGGAGAACGAGGTGAATGCGCTGAGGCGCGCATTGGGTGTTGTGGGCGAGAGGAGTGTAGCGACTGCTGCTGTGGTGGAGGAAAGAGGGAGAGAGTTGGCAGCAGTGAAGGGAGAGATGACTACAGTGAAGGAGAAACTGACTGAACACAAGGACGATATGGCTGAGCAGTTGGATAGGATTGAAAGAAGAAGAGAATCGGACTTGAGGGAGTTGCATGAGAAGGCTCGAAAGAGAATGGTTGTTTCGGCTCGGCTGATGGCCCCGCGCAAGGGAATGTTGACATCCCTAACCCCCCGGCCCCTCTCAGTGCCGCGGACAAGTCTTTTATGAAGCAAATGTTTCGGCCTTGGATCAAGGCATCCACTGTCCACGACTCATGGAGAATATGGAACTCGCCTTTCGGGGAGGCGGGATTGACACTACGGGACGAGATGGCTGCGGGGGGGTTTTCCAAGAAATACGCCCTCGTAACAGCGGAGGACTAAGCCATGCAGCGGCAAAAAAGGTTGATGGTTGCCGTGTCCGAGTATGCGGCGGCACGAAGCGGCGGGGCTGAGGAAGTGGTACGGATCCTGGATGATATTGGGGCGCGTTTTGGTTTCACGTCGCTTCGTGACGGGCTGACTGTTAGGAGTGGGAAGGCCAGCTCGGAGTCGTTTGAGGATTTGAAGAAGAATCAGAAAGTCTGTGAGAAGGTGAAGGTGGCCCTCCAGCTTGTGCGGGCTGGTCTGGAGGACGAGGCGTGGGGGCAACAGCAGTACCCCAACAGCTGGAGTTCGTGGGTCAAGGAGTTTGAGGGGCTCAGGAGGAAACGCCCACGTGAATCTTAGCCTCGTTTGCATGTGTAAGTATGTGCTGATGTATCACACGTGTTTGAACTATAAAGGATATCACAACACGAATCCATTTCTTCCCTTCCATTGCCCTTGTCTGCTACCCTCACAATTCCTGCCTCTGTCTACTTTCATGCTCGCTCCCCCCCCCCACCACCCTCTGAGAGGGTCCCTCTCTCAACTCTACTCTCCTCTACCTCACCCCCACCCCACCACCTCTCCTGATTGTCTCTTCTCCTTTTCTAGTTTTCCTTTTGTGCTATGTGTTTGTCTGTTGTTCGGTGTTTTCTCTAGGTCTGCTTTGTCTAGGCTTACATGCTGTATTCGACTGTAGTTCCTGAACCCCATATCCCCCCATCCCCCATCCTCCCCCCCCCCTCAAACCCCGCCGTTTCCTCCCTTTCCCCCCCTCAACAACCCACGCCTCCCAGACCCCTTCCCTCAATAAACTTAGCTTCTTCTGTTTTGGTCTCCCCTTGCTTCATCCCTCCCACCAATAGCACCTACCGCCACGCCGCTCACCATCCCCCCTACACCAGGACCCGATAGTGGAGTGCTATAAACAGTGCGAGCCACCTGCTCTTGCACTGCACCCCGGCTGCACTCTGCTCCTCCGCTGCGCCACCAGCTCTTCCTCTCCGATGCCGCCTACCATCACCGCTCACCATCCCCCCACTATGTCAAGACCCGATAGTGGAGTGGAGTGGCACTGGTATACACATCACGAGTCACCTGCTCCTGCACTGCACCCTGCCTGAACTCCTACCCCTCTGCTACCCCTCCAATTTCCAAACTGGCGGCCCTCCAGCACGCTGTAGCTCTCGGGTGCGTCTCACCTGCGTTCTAAGTATCAGCCGGACAGGGAGAGGCATGGCAAGAAATGGGAGTGGGTACGGCAGGAGGTAGTGGAGAGAGCGAGGTCGTGGTGGCTTGGACTTACAGGAATTGAGGCGGGGAGCAATGCATGGGCTGGCATATGAGACATCCTAGGCATGAGCATGGGCAGGGTTGCAGCCTGGACAGGAACGCCGTTTTTGAACTTTCGGCGCGCATCAAGCCAGCCCGGCCTGGCACTCCAGGCCGGACGTGTCCCGAGTTGCAGCTCGGGGTTTCAGCATCGGGCTAGGCCGGTCCGGGCCAGATTGCAGCCTGAGTCGGCCTAGTCAGTGCTGCATGCGAACCATGCCGTGCGAGTCGCATTTCACGAGTGTGACAAGGAAGTGGGGGGTTGCGGGCGCGATCAAGGGCGGTGTGGATGCGTGCAGGGACGGGACGGGTCATGGACGGCCCGGCCTCATATGTCGGTCTCTGGCTAGAACACGGCTTGCCTGTGAGGCAGGCTTGCCTGTGAGGCAGGCTTGCACCCCTCCGTTCACCTGCCTTCCTCTGGCAGCCCCTGCATGCAGGTGCTGGGTGTGGTGGAGAGCATCAGCTACTTCACCTGCCTGGCCTGCTGTTATTACGCCACCATATTCGGCCATGGCACAGGTGGGTTGCTGGCACAGGTGGGTTGCTGGCAGAAGTGGGTCGGTGGGAGAGGTGATGACAGAGGTGGGGTGATGACAGAGGTGGGGTGATGACAGAGGTGGGGTGATGACTGAGGTGGAGTAATGGCACCCTTTATTTCATAATTTCCTCAGGGTTTCCCCTTCCCCTCTGCCCCCACCCCTCCTCACCCCTTTTCCCCCAGCAGATCCTTGCCTGCTCCCTCATTCCCTCTTTCCCTTCCCCTATCCACTCTTCCCTCTCCCCTCTCCTCTCTCCCCTCTCCTCTCTCCTCTCCCCTCTCCTCTCTCCCCTCTCCTCTCTCCCCTCTCCTCTCTCCCCTCTCCTCTCTCCCCTCTCCTCTCTCCCCTCTCCTCTCTCCCTCTCTCCTCTCTCCCCTCTCCTCTCTCCCCTCTCCTCTCTCCCCTCTCCTCTCTCACCTGCCACTGTTCCTAAGATCACGGCAAGGGACACCTTGTCGAATGCCCCTGTGCCTCTCGCCCCTTCTCCCCTCTCCGCCGATCACCCCAGGAGGCGTGGCCTCCTGCACGTGCGACGGATGCCTATCCCCTTCCCCACCCCCCTCCCGTCCCCCTCCTTAACCACCTGCCCTTCCTCTAACCCATCCCCCTCCCCACCCCCCTTTCCCTTCCACTTTCCCATCCCCCTCCCGTTCTTTGCATGTCCACGGGTTCTCATATGTGCTCTACTCACCCCTGCCTCCTTCCATTCACATACCACTCACCGCATCCCTATCATTTCGTTCCTCTCCTACAATACCTCTCACCCCATGTACCGCCCCCCGTTTCTCTCCTACAATACCTCTCACCCCCTCCTCTCCCCCCCCCGTCCATCCCTCCTCTCTCCCACGCCCCCACTTCACCCCCTGCTCGCCTCGCCCTCCCCCCACGCGCCCATGCTGCTGCTGCACGCGCACGGCGTGAGCAGGGAGTGTGGGCTTCCTCGTGCCTTTTGAGGCGCCTCAAAAGCTTCCTCATGCCTGCTGATGTGGCCGCCGTGTGGCGCGGGCCCATGGTGATGGCGGCAGTGGAGTGGAGAAGCTTGTAAGGGGGACGGAGTGGGGGCGGCTGGAAGTGCTCGTGGTGGACGTGCCGCTTGTGCTGGTGCTGGCACGGGCAACGTGCAGCACAGCTTGAGCGGATTGGCTGTCAGTTGCGTGGCAGACGGATTGCATGGGCGCAGGTGGGTTGCGGGGGAGGGGAGGGGAGGGGAGGGGATGGGATGGGATGAGATGGGGGGAGGGGGGGAGGAGTGAGTGGGGTGGGGTGGGGTGGGGTGGGGTGGGATGGGATGGGATGGGATGGGATGGGATGGGATGGGATGGGATGGGATGGGATAAGTTGGGATGGGCTGGAATGGGATATTGATGGGATGGGATGGGATGGGATGGGATGGGATGGAAGCTTCTTTAATTTCCGCACTTCTGGACTTGCATTTCATCAAACTCGTATCGAAAAGGGTAGCCTTAGATTTAGTGGGATTTTTCTATCTTAAGATTTTTTTTCTTAGTTGTGGGAAAGAGTCGTCTGGTACCCCTCCTCCCCTTCCCACCCCCTCTCACACAGGTTTTTTTCCTTCTGCCCGGATTTTTTTCGCCCTGCCTGAACCAGCGAATTTTTGTGTTTTTCCAAACGGAAATCAAGCGAATAGCATATTTACACTTGCATATAATACGCAAGCGTATCACACGAAAAACATGCATCTGCCAACGTAGGTGGGGTGGGGTGGGGTCGGGATGGGATGGGATGGGATGAGATGGGATGGGATGGGATGGGATGGGGTGGGATGGGGTAGGGTGGAGTGGTTTGGGATGGGATGGGATGGGATTGGATGGAGCGGGAGGGGAGGGAGAAGTTGAGACGGGATGGGGTGGGATGGTATTAGGCCAGCACTATCGGAGGAAGAGGTGGGGATGGGTTGGTGCATGTACCCCACTGAATGGTCGCTGGGGAGGTTCAGCTGGGGAGGTGCAGCTGGGGAGGTGCGCTGTCACACCACACTGCCTGCCCCATGCTCCCAGCACTGCTGATGGTGTACACACACCACAGCACCCTGCCCCCACGGATGCCTTGTGACTCGCACTCACTTTCTCATTCGCTCTATCTGCTCGCACTCCTCCACCCTCCTCTCCTCCAATCGACTCTTCCGTCTCACTCATCCACTGTTCTTTCCCCACCCAATCATCCAACCATGCCCCTCACCAGGAGCGGTGGTGGTATCAACACCGCAGGACTTTGAAATGATGGATGCGCGGCGGGGAGTGCCCATGTTCCGAAAGCTCAACGTGTTGGTGGGTGATGGGGTGGTGGGTGATGGGGTGGTGGGTGATGGGGTGGTGGGTGATGGGGTGGTGGGTGATGGGGTGGTGGGTGATGGGGTGGTGGGTGATGGGGTGGTGGGTGATGGGGTGGTGGGTGATGGGGTGGTGGGTGATGGGGTGGTGGGTGATGGGGTGGTGGGTGATGGGGTGGTGGGTGATGGGGTGGTGGGTGATGGGGTGGTGGGTGATGGGGTGGTGGGTGATGGGGTGGTGGGTGATGGGGTGGTGGGTGATGGGGTGGTGGGATGATGGTTAGTGTACAGTGAGAATAATTATCTTCCGAATTCCAACCAGTCAACGTGCCGGTGTGTTCTGTGTTGGTGTCATGGTGTGATTCTAGGTGTTGCGGTGGTGGGGTGGTGGGGTAGCTAGCGTGTCGGTGGGGTCATGGCTGATCAGTACTCTTCTCTCCTCTCTCACGCCTTCTTTACACAAAGTGAGACACCACTCGTCCTTTTCTGTCTGTGCATGCTCCAATCCCACATGTCTTCATTCTGCTGCCTTTTCGTGGACGCCCCTCCCACATCCCACACCACTTGTTCACGGTGGCGTTCAGACGATGCGCTGTGGAAGGATGAAGATGCAGTGAGGTGGAGCAATACAATGCAGAGCAGGGTCTAGGGGATCACATCACTGAAGGCTGAAGGCAGGTGGGCACATCACTGGATTGATTTTCGTGCCCAATCACATCCCAACCCAATCACAGCAGCAGATTGTCAGAACTGATGTATATCCATTTTTTTCAGAACTGTGATATTTTTGGCATACTTACAGGTGGGTGAGGCCATTTGACAATATGTTTCCTTGTTGCTGTCCGCTACGCAGAAATTAGCATGTTAGCATGTAATGGCAATAAAACATTCAGTAATTTACCAAGCCTTAAAGCTCTCTCATCTGTGATTCCTCTGTCATAGCCCCTCTGTATTCTCCCTCGACCTCCCACAATCTATGAGCTACAGCATACCCTTATCCTTCCCTCCCCTCCCCTCCGCCCCCACCTTCCTTCTATCTTCCTTCCTTTTCTCAACTTTGCCACCAACCTTCAAGCTTTCCCCACTGACGCTTTCACACATATGCCCAGCACTGTCCTTGTACCTGCCCATGCAACTGACATCGCCAATCATCTTTCCAACCTGCCTGCATATTTCCTTACCACCACTCTCACCGCAACCCTCACAATCACTCTCCTTGCCACTTTTCATGCGACCATCCTTGCTCCCAACCCCCCTCCCATCCTTCCCGCTCTTCTTGCCGCTGGTCCTGCCGGGGCATGTGAGCTTGTGGGAGGGCCAGTGCGCCTTTTGGCACTCTCTGCTGCAATACGCCACCTTGCCACACCCACCGCACCTCCTCAGCTTCACTCCGCCACCCTTCACCGTCACACATCCCGCAGCACCGCACACACGGCCTCGGACACCTGAAGCAGCAGCAGTGGTAGCAGCAGATGCAGCACGGATGTTATTTGTAGGATGGGTGGAAGCAGCAGGATGGGTGGAAGCAGTAGCAGGATGGGTGGAAGCAGGATGGACGGAAGGGGCAGCAGGGGAGGCAGGGCGGTAGCACGGCTCCCCCAGCAGCATCTCTCGCAGACATGCCACCAGATTCACTCCCCCCGGCCACGCCTTCAGATACGCCGGCCCCTCCCCCACCTTGCCCTTGATCTCACAGCCGCCGCTGCTGCTGCTGCTCTTGTTGCTGCTCCCCATGGCAGACCTTCGCTGCCCCTGCAACCTTCACAGTATCTCGGGATGATCGCCGCTGCAAGAGCCCACGTGATGTCGAGCCCCCCTGTAGGCCTGTCCCGCTCTCTGCTGCCGCTGCACTCCTCACTCCCTCCCTCAACCCTCCGGTTCGACATCCATGTCTTCATTGTTGCAAAGTACCATATTTCCACCTCTTCCCACACCTCTCCACCGTTCGGCTGATCCATCTCACCATCCCAACAGCCTTGCACCTTCACACTGCCACCTTTTCCCATTTCCGCCACTCCTTTTTTCCGTGCACCTGACTGCACTCCCTGCCCTTTCTCGCTGTACCCTCCCTCAGAACAAGCAAGATTCAGAAGAGGACGAGCGCACCACACGGCCATGTGAATGAGGAAGTACAGAGGCACCTGCTCCGCTCGTCTCAGCAGCATATGCAGGTTCAACGGCCTGGGCAGGCGTGCGGGGAGCTCCAGGCACTCAACCAGCTTGCCGAAGCCAGGGGAGGAGGGAGGGAAGACGGAGAGCACGCGGGAGAACAGATGGCTGACGGGGCGGTAGGCGAAGTTGACAATGAGAGCAGCCATGCACACGGATTGCATGAATTCCGTAGAGCAGGTGCTGCAGTGGGTGCATGCAGGAGGGTGCATGACATACCCGGCAAACCCCACCAGGAAGTCCACATCTGCCTCGCAGCGAACAATAGGAAGCTTCCTTCTTGGGGGTGGCAGTGTTTCTTTCTGCTCGTCGTTCCCAGATGCTTTGGCTCTTCCACGCGCTCTGCTCTGTATGGATTCCTCCCAAGCTCCTTGCTCTATTGCCCTGGACACTCTCCGCCTTGCACTCCTGCTGCCCCCTCCTGCTTCAGCTATCCCACGTGCCATGCTCCATTCTCCTTCCTGACTACCTCCTTGGCCTTCTGCATCGGATCCTTTTTCCTTTGCACGCCTGCTGTCCCCTCCTGCTTCAGATGTGTGCTGACGAGGATGCCCAATCAGCTTCTCAGCTGCTTCACCACGCTCCTCCACAATCCCAAGCCCAAAACACCTCTCCTTTCGGTTGACAGGAAACTTCACAGCAGCTTCCTCGCCTGCAGGCCACTCCTCCCACTCCAAAGCAATGCTGCTTCCCTCTAGAGGCTTCGGGATGGCGCCGAACCTGACCAGAAGGCTAGGAAGGTCCCGAAGCGGATGGCGCATGTACCTGACCTTGCTCTGAGGGTCGTTTATGAAGCACTGTTTCTCCGAGATGGAATCTGAGCCGTAGACCCGGATCCACTGCAAGATGCAACCAACTCGATAGGTGAGTGCAGCAACCACCGGGTTTGTATTGACGGGCACGAGTCTAGAGTTTGCACTAGGCAGGGCCGCTCCTGCATGTGCCCCTTCTTCTCCATCCATCCCCTTTGTCTGCTTCAGGCAATGCAGCAGCCTCTTCCTGGCCACCTCAACAGCTGCATTCTCTAGCTTCATCTTGTTCAAATTGTTCCCATCATGGAAGAACAACCATGCATCCATCCAGTGCTCTGGTTTAGATAATACCGTGGTCACAGCAAGGGCGAAATCGGTCGCATTTACACCACTCACATGCATACCCTTCGGAGCACTGCTGCATCTACTGCTGCTGCCACAACTGCTGATTTTGCTGCTGCTGCTGCTGCCCCCCTCACTGCAGTGGCTGCACCGGAACTCCCTCCCTTCCTCCCCACCATGTTCCAGAATCCACTTCATGCCATCCACATACCTCTCCCACACACGTCCCTTCAGATGTGCCCTCCACTTCACCTCCTTTTGTGCCCTCCCCCACTTGCTTACAACCCCATTCATCGTTACCTTGCTCCCTGCATCTTCCTCTCCGTGTCTCCCATCCTCCCTCCCATGTGAAGCCCCGCACATGCACTTCGCCCCCCCATACGTCTTCTCGACAGCCTTCTCCTCAGCCAACCCCATCCCCTTCCCCTTCCCATGCACCTTCTCAGCAGCCTTGCCCCCACCTCCCCCCCTCCTCTCTGCATGCGCCTTCTCCAGCCCGCCTGACAGCAGTTGCTGCACAAAGAACCCAAACCCTTCCTTCAGATCAGCACTTTCCTTCAACCCCATCACCTGCACCAGCATGGAAGCAATATTGTCACTCTCCCTCTGCCTGCTCGCCCCCAGCTCAGTGACAATTGCGGGCCAGGCAGACGAAGACGAGACCAAGTGAGCTTTCCACAGAGTCACAAGGCGAGGGGATCTTGCTACAAGCACAAGGAACGTTGAGACGTTGACAGCACGGCGGTAGGCAGCCCAGCAGCTGCTGCAGCGCCAGCAGCAGGACCACTCTGTAGAAGCAGCAGGGGCAGGAGGAGCAGCAGGAACAGCAGGGGCAGCAGCAAGGGCAGCAACAGGAGCAGCAACAGGAGCAGCAACAGGGGCAGCTGGAGCAGCTGTTGCATCCAGAATAGTAGGCAGACGAGATCTGATCTTCCCCAGGTTCATGAGCACACCCACACAAGGCTCAGCCATCCACTCGAGAAACATCAGTTCTGCACAAAGGCGAGGCGCCCTCTCGGGCTTCCACACAAATAGCACCTGAGAAGACATTGCATGATGCTGCTGCTGCTTGGGATCTGCTGCGGGGATGCAACGAGGCTGCTGCGTGCGCAGGTGGCGACGCAAGTCCTCCAGGTTCTTCATGCCAAGAGCTCGCTGTGCTCGTAGGCTCACTGCACGCTCAAAGCAGCACTCACACAGATCCTCATCCCACCCGCTTGTCACGTTCAAGTAGTGAACCATGTCCGCACGAGACAGCACCTGAAGTGGTTTTGAACTTTCCTCCACTGATGCTTTCCCTGCTGCTCCTCCGGTTGCTCCAGTGGGCTGTCCCGCTCCGTCTGGGTCATTCTGGACTGCAGAACCATGTGCGCTTTGCAACACCCCAGGATTTTTCATCCGCTCTTCCAATTTCATAATGAACTGCACCAAGCGTGCTATTTTCGCGTCATAATCCTCTTCTTCCTCTGCTGCCTTCTCTGGTTCCCCTCTGTTTGCGGCAGTGGATTGACCTTGTCCACCCTGCTCGTACCGTCCTGCCCCCAGCAAGGCATACAGAACTTGCAGCCGCTCTTCCAATTCTTGAAACTCTAACCACTGTTCATGTTTGGCAGCACCTTCCTTCCCCTCTTCCTTGCCCTTGCTACTGCCAGCATCAGAATAACTGGATTGCAGCTCTGCTCCGCCAGTTCTTGTCGGGGCTCCTCTCATTGGCTTGTGCCTCTCGCCTTCCTTGGTGCTAGGCATGGTGGGATCTAGTTGGGTGAAATAACCAACAAACGTAGCAGCAGGATTCGACGGAGTGAGAGGGAACGAAGGATGATGCACAACAGTAGCAGATTCAACACCAGCAGCTTCCCCAAGCTGATCAAATTTCGTCTCGCCCTTACCCATGCACTTTTTCCAGTGAGGACTCCTTGCTGGTTGTACCTGCACTGAGCTTGGATTTCAAAATTGTCAAGCCAGGAAACGGCACACTTGCTGCCCAAGAATCACGAACGAGGCTGTTGCTTAAAATTCGTGAAAGTTTGCTCTGCCGCTTTATCATGACTTAATTGCTGCTGACGTCTCGCATGGCAGGCAGCAGTAGTGCAGGTGGGACTGAAATAGTTGGTTGAAAACCGATAACAGAAGTTTATCAGGAGCAGCAGTAAGACACATCCACCTGTGCTGCGTTCGTCTTAAAATCCGAAGCTGTTGGGACCAAATGGAGGGATTTCATTTGCGACACATCCTGCGGACTCGCCAAAATTGATGTCGCCGAAAGCCATGACGGGAGATGCTGGATTCAAATAAAATTGCTAGTTTCTAGTTGAAGCAGAAACTTGCCAATTCAGATCTGTCGGTTCGACCGG